CTGTTGAGGAAAATAAAAGTTTTTCTATTGTTGCTGTCTTCATTACACTATGGCATCTGTACCGGTTGGAATAAGTTTTTGGAATCTTCAGTTATTAAGGATCTGAGCGTTTGCCAGGATTTACCCTTGTTATTTCACGTTCGGGATGTGGGTTTGGGAGCGGTGGTAAAAATTGGAAAGTTCATGTTTCTTTTGGGAGCATTTGGTGATTTAGCGATGGATGCTCGTGAGGTGTTTTAGGTTTCTTGGGACGAGGCTGGATTGTCTCTGTTACCAGTTGGCTGCTTCATTGGGCAGTTGCATATTTGCATCAGAGCGTTTGGCATGGTTGGGAGTTCTCGACGACGTTGTGTTAACGCTTATTTTACATGTGGTGCTAGTTAAAGCACTCGAGTTTGACTTTGACGTGGGAGGAGGGAGGTCGGTCGTTGTGGGGGTTGTTACTTTTTGAAGCTGCTTGTTAAAATGGCGTGAAGTTTTTGGGGGTTCAATTGGTGTGCAGTTTTTTTTCGGCTTCAGTTCTGGTAACGTCGTATTTGGTATGGGCTCGTTGGTCTTGGAGTGCGATTGTAGCATAGAAACAAGAGTAATTTTTACTGTGGGGGTTGTGTAGGTGGGTTTCTGATTTATGGGTTCGAGGGGGAGCTTCAGTCTGTAGTGTTCTATTGTTACGAGTTTTGTGGGGTGTAATTTTCAAAAAAACTGGAACATTCATGTAGTCTTGAGAGTTGCTGTTTTAGTGATCACTCTTCTTATAACAACGAATTCTTACCAGTGAAAGATGGTGTCAAGGATTAACAAGTTCTGTGCAGGTTAGTGTTGTTGGGAACACAGTTATGAAATTTTTCTATCTGGGGGTATTGAAGGTTACAGAAAAAAAGTTGGTGAGGGTCATCGTTATTTTTCTGCTTATGGCTGAGCATATTTAGTGTGATGTGTTTTGGTTGGTATTGAGCAAGGTAGGTTCTTCAGTGTGTCAGGAGGAACGTTTAAAGAGTTGATTCTATAAATTAATGTAGTGTTCAGCATTAATGAAGAGGCAGTATCGGTTGTACTCGTCAAGGACCGTCGCTGAACTTCTGAGTGAGGAGGAAGAGCTCTCTGATGTTGTTGTTCAGGTACTGAATTGTTTATTTGGGGGATTGTTCTGTTGACTGAGCATTTGCGTTCGCCTTTAGATAGGGTGTTTGATTATGAGGTTTCAGAGAATCGGTTGTATGGGGGTTTTTGCTTCAGCCTTAGAAAGATGTTACAGGTGAAACATGATTTATTTTGAAATCTGTTTAGGGTTGGGCCGATAAGGTCCACAGGAAAGGAAAATTTATGTTTGTACATATACATGATGGCTTAACTACCGGATCGTTGCAAATCGTCGTTCCACGAAGTGTTTGCAAATCGGTGACGGTAGGAAGTGCAGTTAAGGCGAATGGTAAATGGGTTAAAAGTGAGGGAGCACAGCAAGATATGGAGCTCTTTGCCACTGATTTTGTGGTAGTTGGGCCGAACACGTCTGGTAAGGTTAGCGAGTGTTTCTTTTTTTTTT